GTCATATCCGCTTACCTCGGTTTCCGCTCGTACTACGTGTAGTCCTGGACAAATGCGGTAGTTGTGCGTTAGCGTCTATCAACCGACAGCTTGTTTCGCGTCTAACAAACGACAGCTTGTTTCGTGCATTTGTTATGGAATGGAGCACAATTGTTCTTTTCATTTATTCTGGGAATGTGAACTGTTGGCTGTAAAGGGGGTCGCACACCGGACGAGAAGCGCCGCGTCACGTTTAGGACAACTCCGCAGTAACGTTATCGAACACCGGACGTGCACTTTCTCATCAGTGTATGGCCAGGAATATTGTTATGTTTAATGACAGGAAATGAGGATAATGTCTGTTCTATGCTATGATTGTACTGTACAATTAAATACAATCGTTGCTGAGTCTGCATTCTGAAAACTTTACCTCAGATCATCCGTTCACGAATCTCACCTGAAAAATCTAATAATAACATCAGCAATTGTCATTCAAGCAGCTGATTTCTGTAAATCACTGCAAAACTAAATGCATATTGCAGCATAGGGCAAAGTCAGGATCCATTAGCAACGGTTTGAGACAAAAATAATACAAATTTTATATAAAACTGTGTAAATAGCGCTCTGTGGCGCAGCAGGATTTTGAGCACGGCGTTGCTGGGCGCCGCGGACAGACGCCGAATGGCGCCGCCGGTGTGTGTACACTTATAGATAATAATGTGTTCGAATAATTATGTGGTGTGATGCGGCGCTGCAGCTTCTCGTCCGGTGTGTGCGACCCCCTTAACGTTAATTTTGTGAAACTGTAGCTGTGGTTGAATACTTACACGACATGAAAAGATGTGTCAAATGTACATTAAATTGATTTTTTATTTTTATAAAGTTACCAAGGAGGGCCAACCACGTCAAATCCTTGCAAGAGACCTGCCCCTTCAAACCCTCTCCACCATAGCTTCGTCCAGTGACTCGTACAGTAACTAATTTACTTTTAAACCTGACTTTTCTTGCGTGGTTATTTCAGTTTAATGAAAAACAAGCATGTCATTAAACGCAACGTTTATAGAAATCGAACTTTACCTCATCCATGACAACTAATTTTCGATTCCCGTCTGACTGATTTATCCACGGTGGAGTTGAAAACAACAGTTCCCATCATTCCGCGTTCCTCCACGTCGTCGTCAAGCAAAGCCGTTGTTGTTGTTTTGAATGTAGCGCCCTCTAGCGGCATCTAAATCTTAGGTATTGCACCTTTAAATAGAATAGAAATAGATTTATTTTTGCAAAGTGGTCTTTTGTGGTATATAATAACAGCAATAAAGTAATAGCCTTTAGTTAACTTACTTGTTTACAGGATTTTTGTAGATCTTATATTGTAGATTTTATTTTATTTAAGCATCTGGAACCAGTGTAACAGGACTGTCTACTGCAATGTGCCATGGGACGTCAAACTAACTAAACGAACTAACATTATCTTATAGGCCTATTGAAATGTTAGAACAGAACAAATACGGGAAAACGAATTGTTTGGTTAATAATTCAAGAAGGTCCAGACTTTAAAGCTCTTGACTTGTACTTACCCGAATAAAAATGTACCATAGTTGTTGAAATAGTTTACCTGTAGCATTTGATCCACTAAGGTCATAATTACAGGAGGTAAGACCATTATGACTCCTCATGACCAGGCCAATGTTGACTTTCTCTTTTCATTGATCTATAGTACTGTTTTTTTTTTTAAATTTTTTTATGAAAAATGGCAACCTACACATTTACAGTCCCAGTTGTAATATAAATCTATGGTGAAAATATATATTTCCTTAACAGATTATCTTTCTAAAATTCTACAATAGAGTCAAAATTGAACATAATAAATACATTCAAATAAGAGAAATTCTAGTATGCGAGATCATGCGTATTGCGCTAATAATCGGTCTGTTCAGTTCGGATGTAACAGCTCAAACGCGCAATGTTGTCCTATATATTTAATGAATAGCCTAAATATGGTTTCATTAACTATATGGTGTAAATATATGGTGGGTTGTAGGCCTACTATCAGGTTTTGGTTATTCTCTGGGTAATGTAATTACTGAGGCCAAAAGTACAATAATACGCTCATCGAGGATTGTTGGTGCGTTAGAGTAAGAGGAGAACATGTTTTGGGCTGATTCTGGTCTTTTCACCTCATTAGTTTCACTACGGCCGACACCAGAGTTTGGCTGAGGTCCGTTTCATCACACCATCTTCAGGGAGATGAAAGATGACGAATGACGAAGTTCGGCACACTGAGAACAAATCAATGACACGCTTAATGAAAGCCCAGCCTCAGATGAGTCACCCCAGCACAATAAACAAGAGCTATTTTGGAAATGTTGAGAAGGACATTGCAAACATTACATCAAAAAACAATGCCAAGCCTCCCCTGAGACCATATCGAATACAACACATAACACTTCAGGAAAAACGCTCAATGAATGATTTGTGAAATGTTTTTGTGCTGATGCTTTGATAACATTATTAAAGAGTAACTTTGAACGAATGCTCTATTAATGTTACTGTGTTCATAAATTTGAGTGAATGAATATTGACAGAACATGTTCCCTTCAAACATCATCTTAGACAGGATGAGCCTTAAGAGTAAAAAAGTTGAAATAAACGCACCTCTGCATTAAAACAGCTCACAATAATTGTAAAGATTATGCATGTGTGAATAGCAGTGAGATCATGGCCACTGTTGAGTTCATCATCCAGCACCTCCTGACAGAAGCCTGAGCAAAGCTATTCAGAAAACACTGCACACAGCGCCCTCTGCTGGAGCACCCTGGGGAGACGGGACACCACACCAGTTACACTGTTTCAGTGTGTTTCCCAAAAGCATTGTTAGCAAGCTAGAGTCGCAAGCTGAACTGTTTGGGAAAGAGTCTCCTCGCTCCATTGAACTATATTGGTACTCGTGACCATAGTTGGCTTTGGGAAATGAGGGCATGAGAACATTGACTAACCAAAAATATGTCATGAGGCCATTATAAAATTTTAACGTATAATTTATAATTTATATATATGTATGTATATGTATAATTTATATATAGATTGTATATATGGTAGTTCTTTGATGTTCTAGTTTCAAAATGGCAGTTCTTTGATGGTCGCACCACATGATATTTCATAAAATAGACATCATCGGACAAAGTTTGTTTGTATATTATGATGGAAATATTAATGCAAATGCTTAGAATTTTTTTTAAAGGATTACAAATCATTTTGGAAATCATGCCAAATAGTGCAGTACTTAAATTTGAATCAATTCAGAGTAATTTCAAAGATGCTTTCAAAACAGAATTTATGGCCGGACGGTCGCACCACATGATGTTTTGACACTTTAAATAACAAAATAATAACAAATAAGTAAAGGTTTTTGAAAAGTTAACGTGAGTACATACATGGGAGAGGTACTACAAATATGCAGTATCTTTTTAGGCATTTAAGCCCATTTTTGCCTGAAAAAAATGCAGTTTGACAGAAAATTTAGGCGTCACGTCATTGACCCATATATATATATATATATATATATATATAAAACCACTTGAGAAATGTATAAACATGTATCTAATTTTCCCATCTCATGATTTTCCTGTTATGTTGTTTGGGCTATGTTTTCTTGTAAACGCTAATGAGTTAATATTTCAGACTGTGCATACTATGGTTAACTGAAATCATATGTGTGGCATGTTTGGTCTCTATAAACTCCAATCTTCGTCCCCCATTTATTAATTAACATTACATTTTGCTAACTTTATGACGCATTAGTATTACAAGAATCTTGAAGATTCTCTTCTTAAACACCCAATGAAATTACACATTCAAATGCCTTTTGCTATAAGAGAGATGGGTCGTAAAAACTCCCTCCTAAGGGACGGCTTCGCATTGGCTCACACACATATTCACGCTTTAAAAATCACTGATCATTAGCCTTTCTCTTAGCCTCTTGCTCTCTTGGTTCCTGAGAATAATGTGAAGAAGATGCTGAAGTAGAAGTCCCCCAAGCGTGTGCCAGGCTGCGTCCTTGTCTTTCCCTTCCCCAGAGATCCTCTGACTCCCGCTGGCTCTCTCTCTCATCAGGACCACATCAGCAAAGATCAACACATTACATCAGGACAGTTTAATTCACATGGGTGACACATGCAAGTATAAAACTTAGTCTCATTATTTGACACATTAAGCATCCTAACCCCCGTTGAAGAAGGGTGTGTGAGAACTGAACGGATGGTTTGCTTCACACACTGCTGTCCTGCGTTCTGCTCCGGCTCTCTTTCCCTCGGGAAACTGCATGCTTGTGTGTGTGTGTATGTTAGTGTAGTTTAAATGTTTAGTCTAGTTAATAAAATCTTGTCCATGTCACACGTAAAGTTCCCCGTGTCTCAAGCTCATATCTGGAGTCTCTAATCATAGATCTTGACTTCTTGCTCTGAATAGTTCTTGGTAAGAAAGACATTTCCCATGAGCCAGAACTGTACATTTCCATTAATCAATTAGGAACCGAGTAATTGGTCATAATATTAATGTAGCTACATCAAGTTAACCCGATTAACTGATCCAAATATTCATAATCAATTATAACAAGTTATGATTAATCCTTAATATTGCATAGAGCTCATTTGCTACAGTAATGTTAACCCATAAAGCTCAGTGGTTTCTTAAGTTTGATCATTAATCTGACATTATGACATGTTTATGACAGGTTGTGTTAGTAAGTAAAGTTGTCATGATAAAGGCACTGACAGGTTACGATCTATTGGTTTATGTCAAGGTCTCATAACAAAGACATCTCAAACAATGTCATATTGCTGTAAAAATGTCATAACTGAGCAAATGACACTTAATGACATGCATAAACCCTCCTTCATATTCATGATGTGTAATGGTGTGATTATAAAGTTAGTCTTACACACACCCTTAAAGTAAAACATTCTTACAAGACAACACATGTTCATCAGTTAGACAGCGATCACAGATTGAGTCGACTCCACTGCACGTATAAAAATTCCCTTTATTTGGAGTAATACTGATATATATATGTGTGTGTACAGTGACGCGATAACAGTTCCTGCAGTGTCCAGCAGAGGCGTCACCACCAACACCAGTCAACCCAGTGTTTCACACAGCATCTCCACACTGGCTGACACTGGTGTGTGTGTGGTACAACAAACTCAACATACATTCAATATGCACCTGTCACCTGATTCATCTGCAGACATTTCTCAAAATATCCATGTCAATCATGTACACATTTGTATGATCCCTTTATCATTATCAATATTTAATTTTTTTAACAAACAACAGTTTTTTTTTCAACAGTTAAACAAGAAAAAAGTATAAAATAGGTCATAATGTTCCATCCCAGCTAACCGAGGGTTAGTACTCTCAAACTTATGAATATTCTTCCAATAACAATGAATAGATATGTTTTGAGAAGACAAAGCAAAAAATCTTTTTTTTTTTCTGTAACATTTTAGCGGGACGTTCGTCTCAAGTGTTTTAAATGTCCGTCTTGTTTCTGATCGTTTGGAGAACATTCAAAACTAACATTCTCATGATGATTGAAGAACGATGTTCCCTAAACGTTCACACAACCAAGACAAAACAGTTTTACAACATGCAAACAATATTAAGAAATAATCTGAAATGATGGGAATGTCAGCAAAATGTTCTTAATAACATCCACACTAACAGAAATATACTCTATGAAGGAATTGTCACAGGTGTTTTTTCCGCTATAATCCAGCATTACTGTACACACTGTATTGGGTTTTAAGAGTAAATGTCAGTAAACAACTAATAATGGCCTGGCAGAAAATGAGTGTGTAATATTCTCTGAGAGCGTGCGAGACCGCGCCGCTAGATCCAACAACAACACACATGATGAATGAGGAGAGGGTGGAGGTTTCCTGATGTGTTCAGCTCAGATCACACACACACACACACACACACACACACACACAGGGTCAAGAGGTGATATGCACAACCAACACTCAAAGCTTAGACACATATTTCTTTCCATTATACTTTGTTTCCTGAAGTTTTGTAAAGAAAAAGTAACCAGTAACAGAAAGCATGGGGAAGAGGTCAGAGGTCAGGTGGTGTGCCACCTGACCCCGACAGTACAGGTACACATACACAGGGTGGATGAAGGTCAGAGGTCAGGGGGTGTTCAGTGTCTCTAGGCCGCCTGACCCCGGCAGTACAGGTACACATACACAGGGTGGATGAAGGTCAGAGGTCAGGGGGTGTTCAGTGTCTCTGGGCCGCCTGACGCCGACAGTACAGGTACACATACACAGGGTGGATGAAGGTCAGAGGTCAGGGGGTGTTCAGTGTCTCTGGGCCGCCTGACGCCGACAGTACAGGTACACATACACAGGGTGGATGAAGGCCAGGAGACTCAGAACACTCAGAGCGATGTTCACCTGGAGGAACCAATGACAGTTCAGTCAGCGCTGCTCATCTGAAACTTTTGCAAACTCATTAATTCATCGAAATCAACAACTTGTATATGATAGACCCGACTAAACTACTGAAAGAGATGCTTCTTAATATCATTAATTCCTCTTTGTTGCTAGGATACGTACCAAAAACCTTTAAGCTAGCTATGATAAAATCGCTTGTTAAAAAAACACAACTTGATCCTACAGAATTAGTCAATTACAGGCCAATCTCGAACCTGCCTTTTCTGTCAAAGATACTGGAAAAAGCAGTATCCTCACAACTCTGGAAAGAAATGATATCTGAGAGGATTTTCAGTCAGGATTTAGAGAACATCATAGTACCGAGACAGCTTTCATTGTTGAAGTCACAAATGATCTGCTCTTATCGTCCAATCGTGGTTGTATCTCTCTATTAGTGTTACTCGATCTTAGTGCTGCATTTGACACTATTGACCACAACATTATTCTAAATAGACTAGAAATCTATGTTGGCATTTGTGGAACTGCATTAGCATGGTTTAAATCAGACTTATCTGACCGTTATCAGTGTGTAGCAGTTAATGAAGAGTCTTATCGATCACGAGTTCAGTATGGCGTACCACAAGGCTCAGTACTGGGACCGCTGCTATTCACTCTATAAATGCTACCATTAGGAGATATCATTAGGAAACATGGAATTAGCTTTCATTAGAATTAGTTCTTACATTGTAGAGCAAAGTTCTCGCAACTCTGACTTTAATTCTTGGTATTCTGACTTTATAACACACAATCCAGCTTGCTTATTTTGCTCAAGGTCAGGATTTATTGAGTCCACATGTCATGCAAGCGAGAAACTGCTTCTAACCGCAGCTGGAGATCAATCGCTCCACACACACACACACACACACACACACACACACCTCTGCGATGCTGTTTGTGAATGTTCGTTGGAATGATGGTTTCGGGAGACCAAGACTTGTTGAAGTGCAGATAACGATAGAACTTGTGACTATAGTTGACTAACGATGCTTTCGGGAAACGCACTCCTGATTAGTTCCTGTCTCTCTGAAGCCCCTCCTTCTGAAAAGCACACTGTGTCGGCTGGATCAGTGTGTTGTGATTGGTCGAGCGCTTCGAGTGCGTTTTGGAAATGTCCCGCCCCTTTCCATAACCGCCAGTTTAACACACTCCTAACTAACTCAACCAGGCCCCGCCCCTTTACTCTGCGCATTAATTATTATAATGAGGAATATTGTGACGTGTTCGGAAACTCGAGACTACAGTGGAGGCGTTTCAGGAGTTCAGGAACACTGACGCTCATATAGAGGAGAACTGGGACAGCAACATCACACACTGAACACAGATGAAGATGGAGAATATCAGCCTTTAAATATACAGTTCTTGACGGCTGTTTGACTGATAACATATTGAAACAGAACAGTTTTACAATCTCAGAAAAAAATTACAAATATGCGGAACTTCATCTGCCAAACAAACTGCTGTATGTTATCTTGAAGCTGCCTCCCTTGTTTTGGCAGACGTGATGTGGCTCATGTTGGAAAAACAAGTGTCAAGGGAAGCACTAAGCCACTGAAATAACACAAACCCACTGGTGTTTTTGTGCAATAACCGCTCGCTATCCAAGCCACAGCATGATCTACGCTGGAGGGTTATAATAGCAGGCGGGTTGTGTGTGTTAGAATATGTTTATTGTGGTCATCTTGAATGTTTTCACACTGGGCTCAAACTGGTCTCACAGATTCGCCAATAGAGTGACTTCTGTGTGAGCTGTGCTTCAAACATCTAAACTATTGATACCAGAGTCTGTTTCCCATGAAAAGCTGCCGATATGAGCGTGCGTGATCAGAAGAAGCGATCTTACGTAAAGAGGGTCTCCCCCCAGTGGTCCTCTAATGAGAGCGAAGCAGGGATACTGGAGCAGCGAGAACACCGCGGAGAGAGCCATCACCGTCCCATACAGCTTCCCGAAGTGTGCCGACGGGAACCTGGAACACAGGAACATGATGCAGACACTGTAAAACATATTAAGCTTAAAACAGTAAGTTAGCCGGTTGCCTAAAAATGTTGAGTTTGTTTATATATATATTTAGCATATCTCTGTAATACTTTTCACAAGAGTAATCTACATCTAGAATGATCTGCTGATATTTAATCACTCTCAATCCAATCCCAGACCTGTAAGATCTTCTATCTGTGTTCCACACACACACACACACACACGAAAGACAGTGAAAATCGTCAGGTTTGGAACGGCGTGAGCGTGATTAAATGATGATTACATATGTTCCTGTGACAAAGACTCACGCCACGCTGATGAAGGCCGCGTTCCCCCCGTAGAGGAAGGACCTGTTGAGCACCTGGAAGATGAAGGTGAGGTACTGAAGAGGAAGGACAGGGGTCGCCGCACACACTGAGAACAACACACACTGCAGCGCCGTCAGCGACAGGGACAAGATGGCCGCCTTCAGGTCTGCCTCTCGCTCACTCTGGCCTACAGCGGACGGAAGCGAAAAGGCTGTGGTTTGAGGCCGCGTTCACAACACAACTTAAAGAGAAGTGGGAAGTCATGACACAAATATTGTCAAACCAAACTTTCACTGAGTGTGTGGCATGGGAATGGATATGACTGTGTGAGAAATTAAGTGACAAAAAAAAAAAAGGAATAACTGGGTGATATATTATTATAGAACAAGCTAATTGTTTGTATTATTTGTAAACTTTTATTTATGTCAAACAATAGTGATTCAAACTGTATACATCCTTTTAGTTCTCTTAAATTGTTTATTTGCTCTAAACTCATTTATAATCAGGCCATAGTAGAGCAGACTCTGCATCCCAGGACATTGTGTGTAAGATTATTAGTATGTTATTACAGTTTTTTCTGAAGTTAATCTAGCTGTGTTTGCTTTTGCAAGAGAACTACAATGTTATGATAATTGGGTGCAAAACTAGCCAATAGTTCCAAAAATGTGCTTAAGCAATCAGAAAAAACTGTATGTATAGTGTCTCTTGCATTGTATTGGTGTTATGCATGCTTTATGACAGAACAACTAGTTGATGTAACCCCACCTATAATGTGTCTCCTGTCTAATGACTTACTGTGTCTTCTACTCAATGACTTTTAACATCATTTTAGCTCAAAACTTCCTTTCATACAGCAGCAAGTGTTTGAAATAACATGAAAGACTAACCATTACCATAGTAAACATGGTAAAGATGATAAATATGACCACTTGGAGAAATCAGATAAATCATATAGGCTATCACGATCATGATTTTATTTTATCTGTTGGTACGTCTCGTCTCTTTATACCGGACTGCCTGATATCCATATTTATCTCCGCATTTGTCATAAAATAAAGCAACTCTGGTTTTATGGGATCTTCCTCTGTTTCTCTGACTGAAAATATAAGCTCAGGTCGTATTTTTGGTGGCACAAGCATGTTTTTGTCTCGGTGTTCCTGACCCAAGGCTATTAGCCCCGCCCGCCCGTTTAAAGCCCGCTCAACCGGCCCGACAACGGAAACGCAGCAAGTTTCGGGCTCGGTGTTCCTGACCCGAGGCTATTAGCCCGGCCCGCCTGTTTAAAGCCCGCTCACACCGGCCCGACAATGGAAACGCAGCACGTTTTGGTCTCGGTGTTCCAGACCCGAGGCTATTAGCCCCGCCTGCCCCTTTAAAGCCCGCTCGCACCTGCCCGACGGTCAAAACGCAGCATGTTTTGGTCTCTGTGTTTCATTTCAGCTTTTTTATTTTAATTAATAGTTTAAGTTGAACTATACCTTAAATGGTTCTTACTGACATCAGAAGTAAGAAACTTTAATTTAATCAATTGTCTTTTTGGACAAGAATGTGTGTTCCTTCAATGTTTTCATATGTACACTGAATACCTTTAAAAAGATGAAAGAAATGTGTGCATGAGTGTGTGTTGACCTGGTTCTCTCTGCTTTTTCTTGTGTCGGTCCATGATGAGGCCGTTCCAGGGGGCGCACAGGATCCCACACAGCTGAGTGAATGCAAACGCATTCGTATATCTACTGACTGTGAGCAACAACAAGAACACGGAGGAAAAACAGCTTTCAGTCTCATGATGCACACATGATGCAGATGAGCCTGTCTGCATGTCTATATCTATACATCCCGCTCAAGGCAGGGATTCACCTGATTCACACAAAGAGCTGAATAATGCAGTGTGTGTGTGTGTGTGTACCGAGGCTTGGTTCTCCTGCGGTCAGATGATTCAGCATTGGGTTTAAGGTCCCGATGAACATGTAGTGTCTCAGCTGCATCACAGAAAGCCACAGCAAATGCCACAAGAAGAACCAGGAAAGCAGACAGCTCTTGAAACTACGAACTGACAAAAACATACATCCATAGCGTTAATACACTTCACAATCAAACAAACAATCATGAGTCCAGGTGAGGATCACGGAGAAACTGTTTCAGGCACTCTGCAGATGATAAAGTGGAAAAGCACATATTGAATCCTCATTAGTGGCCTGAGTCCATCATAAGCGGCCTGTCCAGAAACACAATTAATGACATAAAATATAATCATTCAAATGTGATGCGTCACAAAGGGACTTCTAGGAGTGTCTTTACTAGTTTCATTATAAATCATACGGTATTAGCAGGGTTGGAATGTAAAAGCTGTTTTCTGTAACAAATACAGACATTGTTCCAGTGTTATGTTACATTGTAGTTTTTATATTTGCTGCACAGGCGTATAGCACAAATAGCACATGTAACGTGTGTGTTTAGTGTTGAACTCTTGCCTACCCGTCGTGTCTGCGTCGGAAGTCTCTTTAAATGGCATTTCCTCCTTAGACTTAGAAGTCTGGATGTTCTTCTCATCAGTCTTTGCGATGGCATGATCCCGGGTTACTCCGCAGTTCACCCTATTGGAGTCAATGAGAAACAGTCACAGGCTAAGCATTTCTGGAGGAGAGATATACGATGCGGACAGTGAAGTATAAAGCAAAGTAATCTGTGCAAAGCTACCATTGTGAAGAAAAACATAAAGCCCAAAGAAAGAGTAGACAACGTGAAACACTAGCGGCATTTCCATCACCCTTCGAATTGCGAATTAAAAATACGCCCAATGAAACGTCAATTTCACAAAAACTCACATATATCGTAAAAAAGGTTTTAACGCTCGCATGAGGTGGTTCTTCAGACAATTCGAAAAACTGCAATGGAAACAGTTTTTGATGGTACGTTTAGACAGAAGACGAGGCATAGTTCTTTATTAAACTCATAAAAGAGCTAGTACACGAATACTGGATTCTAAAAACAAAGAAATGCCCCAGTTTATCAAGAGCTTGAAGCAGAAATTAGGGAGAAACATCCAGAAACACTTCAAGCCGCTCACAGAATCACAGTCTTTCCTTGCCATGAATGCTTGAACAACAAGCCTACGTCTCCTTCCATTATCAATGCTGTCTAGTGTGGTGGCTGGGACATACACTCACCTAAAGCATTATTAGGAACACCTGTTCAATTTCTCATTAATGCAGTTATCTAATAAACCAATACCATGGCAGTTCCTTCAATGCATTTAGGGGTGTGGTCCTCGTCAAGACAATCTCCTGAACTCCAAACTGAATGTCAGAATGGGAAAGAAAGCAATTTTGAGCGTGGCATGGTTGATGTTGCCAGGTGGGCCAGTCTGAGTATTTACTAATCTGCTAAGTTACTGGGTTACTTATTTTCATGCACAACCATTTCTAGGGTTTACAAAGAATGGTGTCAAAAGGGAAAAATATCCAGTATGCGGCAGTCCAGATGGTAGAGTCCGAATTTGGCATAAACAGAATGAGAACATGATCCATCATGCCTTGTTCCCACTGTTGGGCTGGTGGTGGTGGTGTAATGGTGTGGGGATGTTTTCTTGGCACACTTTACCCCCTTAGTGCCAATTGGGCATTGTTTAAATGCCACGGCCAACCTGAGCATTGTTTCTGACCATGTCCATCCCTTTATGGCCACCATGTCCCCATCCTCTGATGGCTACTTCCAGCAGGATAATGACCATGAATCATTTCAAATTGGTTTCTTGAACATGTCAATGAGTTGACTGTAGTAAAATGGCCGCCACAGTCACCAGATCTCAACCCAATAGAGCATCTTTGGGATGTGGTGGAACGGGAGCTTCATCCCACAAATCTCCATCAACTGCAAGATGCTATCCTATCAATATGGGCCGACATTTCTAAAGAATGCTTTCAGCACCTTGTTGAATCAATGCCACGGAGAATTAAGGCAGTTCTGAAGGAGAAAGCGGGTCAAACACAGTATTAGTGTGTGTTCCTAATAATCCTTTAGGTGAGTGTACGTAAACCTATCACCATCAGTTGCCATGATCTTATCTTATCAAGAGAGGAAAAAAATACGTTTTAGCGCACATAACGTTGGTTAATGGAAACGACGTCATTTCACAATAGTTTTTATCGACATTTAGAAATTATCGCAAAAGTTTAGCGCAAATCTGTAATGGAAACACGGTTAATGAGAGGATCAGCTTGAGGTTTCCCCGCCGGGGAGGTTCTGGTGTCATATACAGCGTATATAAAGATGTGTGTGGGGTTCTCCAGGAGGAGGCAGTGTTTACCCGTAGCTGTAGTTCTCCGGCAGCGGGTATGGGATATGCGTCCGAGGCATCAGCACAACGGTGCGGAACAGATGAAGAACACTACAGCAGGACAAGAAGAGGAAAGACCAGCGTAGAGACACACCGTCCTCAAACAGCAACTGAAAGAGAACAGAGATCGGACATCACGATCCATCATCAGTCATCTCAGCTCAGCTCATCATCTGATGTGAGGTTTCGTTTCCTCTTACTTTGACGATGAGGAACACCGCAGAGGAAGAGTCGAAGGCTCCGTTATACAGAGTGATTATAGTGGAGCGGTGAGCGCCGAAGAGATTCGCCACCTAGAGACACATGAGGACATTTCTGTTGAGGACTTTACATGTGGGATCAGTGTTTATGATAAAGGAGAAGTTCACTTTTGAAAAAACTTTTGCTGATAATTTACTCGCCCCCGTGTCATCCAAGATGTCCATGTCTTTCTTTCTTCAGTCGAAAAGAAATTAAGGTTTTTGATGAAAACATTCCAGGATTTTCTCCATATAATGGAATTCAATGGGAACCAAACGGTTCAAGGTCCAAAAGACAGTTTCAGTGCAGCTTCAAAGGGCTTTAAACGACTCCAGACGATGAATAAGGGTCTTATCAAGCGAAACGATCGCTCATTTAATAAATAAATAACAAAGTTTAAGTTTTATAAGCTCAAATGCTCGCCTTGCTCTGTTCTGTGATGAACAAATCTTTTTTCAAGTCATTTGGTTCATTCAATGAATGAAACAAACTAATTGACTCGGACAGAGATTCATTCATTTTGATGAACGAATTTGAACAGGAGAGTCACAGAACAGAGCAAGGCGAGCTTTTGAGCTTATAAAACTTAAACTGTTTTGATCTGTTCTGTAAATTTGTTCTGTTTTGTAAATTTATTTATTAAATGAGCGATCGTTTCGCTTGATAAGACCCTTATTCATCGTCTGGAGTCGTTTAAAGCCCTTTGAACAGTTTGCACTGAAAGCGTCTTTTGGACCTTGAACCGTTTGGTTCCCATTGAAGTCCATTATATGGAGAAAATCCTGGAATGTTTTCATCAAAAACCTTCATTTCTTTTCGACTGAAGAAAGAAAGACATGGACATCTTGGATGACACGGGGGCGAGTAAATTATCAGCAAAAGCTTTTTAAAGTGAACTACTCCTTTAAAGGATAAAGGAAAACATGAAAAAGTTAATATTCAGTAATATTCTTCAGCTGATCTGACTTTTTTCATAATTGACATATTTTGCATCATCAACGCTGAACAAATCTGAATCACATTTGAACTGAATTGAGTTGAATAATGACACTAGCTGAACTGAACTGATCTGAATAATGACAGAATATGAATGTCTCAAAACCGTGAAGCTGCTTTGAAACAATATGTACTGTACAACTGACTTGACTATTTCTTGCTCTTGAAATAAAAGAGATGGATGTGATTTAATAACACCAAACTCCTGCCACCAAAGAGGATGTTCAGTGTTGAACAAACCAGTGCTCTCCCAGTCTGATGTCTGGGGTCGTAACACAGAAAGATCATGACGGTTAAACTAAAAGCATTCTTATATTCTGACGTTAAAGGGGCGTATCAGGAAATTTGGCATTTCCGAGTTAGCCTAATCTTCTACAGCGCCGGGATCTTCAGTACCTGTATGTTGGTCATCAGTAACAGGATTCCTCCCACAGCGATGAAGGACAGAGCGGGGAAGAGGAGGACGGAGCTCACTGCAGGAGGGACACACACACACACTCAACTCATGATACACACACACACTACACCAGCAAACTACATCCAATGGAGATAAAAACGCTCTTTACCAGGAGTGGAGAAGGCTATTAGCAACATCCCTGCGGTGTAAACCGATCTGTGGAGTAAATCAAACACAGTGAGAACACGAGAGACGTGAACCGCTGTCTCCGTCTGTGGAACATGTGGATCGTGTTATAACTCATTACAGACGGAGATAGAACGGGGTTACACAAATATTTGGACACTTGAAAGGATTACTGCTGTTTGAAAGCTTGGGGTCAATATTGTTTTAAAGACAGCAATACTTTTATTAGCAATGATGCATTAAACTGATCAAAAGTGACAATGAAGACTTTTGATTTGAAATAAATGCTGTTCTATTCATCAAATAATCCTGAACAAACACGGTTTCCACAGCAATCTGAAGCAGCAACTGTGTTCAACACTGATAATAATCATAAATGTGTCTTGATCATCAGACGCTCATATTAGAGTGATTTCTGGAGGATCATGTGACACTGAAGATTGGAGACTTTACTATATATTCACATGAGAAACTTCAAATATATGCTTAAACTATCCTTACGTTTAGTTAAACATTCATCAAACCTACTCCTAGATTTATTAACCTGTGGATTTCTCAGGGTAAAGTATCTGGAAGTGAGCTATTTTTGTTCCAATAGTGACAGGCCTATCAGTGTCTCACTCACAGTATAAGGTTGTTGAGGATGAGCAAATTATCTGTCACATGAATAATAGTTTGGCTTTAGAGCAACTGCTTTTATAGAAAATATGGAGTCTCTATTAGATAAAGGTGGTGCAGTTGGAGTTGTGTTTTTCGATCTTAAGAAAGTCTTTTATACTGTTGATCATCAAATCCTTAAACCTAAATTATCTAGTTATCTTTTTCTTTACATACACATAATTTGTCCGATCGATCTCGGTGTGTTCGAGTACAGATTATTGTTCATCCACTGGTGTTCTCTATCCTGGGTCCGATGTAAGAGTGCTCCGAGTGGGAGGAGGATGAGGAGGACGAGGATGGCTAAAGAGGTAAGCAGTCTCGGATGAGATTGGTGCCGCTGTAGCTGGTCTATGGTGTGAGTATGAGGTTAGGGTACGAGTTCTGCCGAACCTGACTCGCTTCCCCATCATAAGAGCTTCAGGGAACATGTATGTCCACTTTAGACTGCTCTCCACCGTAAGTTTAGAGTACTGTACAACACACACACACGTACTGGAGCTGTTGCCCTATACTACTGTACTAAAAGGAAATGCATCAAATTGCTTTGCACACAGATAGGGGTTTCTGAATGCTTCCATTGTGTGACAGTCACAGTCATCAGGAAGAAGCCTTCAGTAGACGAGTGTACCTAACTGTACATTAAGGGATAAAACAACGTGCACATGTATACATCTGTTGTGTCTTTTGTTGAGTTCATCATGTCAGGTTTTTGAGAGCCACAATCAACATATTGCGTATTACCTTTCTCTGTAATATTGATTTGAATTGATCCCACCAGTGTGTGTGTGTGTGTGTGTGTGTATCTGAGGGCAAAGTTTGGTTTTTCAGCAAGTTTGAATGGATTTGATTGGAGAGATTAATTTTGACCTGAAAATAGGAAGTTTAGGGAAATAGGTCGGAAGTTACGGAGAGTTTCGAGAAACGGAGGCATAACTTTAGAAATGTGTTTAAAGGGGCGGTTGATTATGATTTCACTTTATAGTTAGTTTGTAATGTTGCTGTTTGATCATAAACAACTTCTGCAAAGTTACGACACTCAAAGCGGAGAGATTTTCTTTTAAAGAAATGACTACGATAAACGCACTAGTGTCATCATCAACCCTGACATTTACATAACCCCGCCCCCGGGGACACGATTTATAGGTTATCATGAAAGAATATGATATCATGAAAGATCAAACACTTGAGGATAGTTAACTCCACATCAGATACATCAATCCATGATTGAACAGTGGGGTATTTTGAGCTGAAACTTCCCTTACACACTCTGGGGACATCAGACACATATGTCATATTGTGAATATTTTAAGCAATCGAGAAAAAACGTAATTTAAACTATTGTGTCCATTTAATCATATATTCTGTTTTAGGGAGGCTTCTGTCCAGGGACTACAGATAACCGAAAAATGTCCCTGTCAAAAATAACCCCCCCCCCCCCCCCCAATCTTTGTAAATTCCACTTTGTTTTTTATATTCTGTTTCTAACGCAAAAGCTGGACTCGAGTCCACATTCATTCATCAGTTCTGTCATCTCAACGCACCACAGATCCCAGTGTCCTGCCAGATCTTCTCCTCTATCACTCGTCTATCACTCCTCTTTTCTCAGGGTTTTCTGTGCACTTCTCTCCTAACTGCTTATGAGGCCTAAACAAGCAGTTGACATCCTTCAATCATTCACTAAAATCAACATACAGCAGTTTTGTCACAGTGCTTATATCTATGAACACTAAGCAGTCGTGAGAAAGAGAGGATGGAGCAACATGTCCCTTGCAAAAATATATGATGGCATTCCTTAGTATTACATTTACCCTGGTGAGTACAAAACAACACGAGGATATTTCACAGACTACCACATTATTACCCCAGCGAGCAATAGCCGTCATTTCACCGTGTATGGACCCGATGTAGTCCAGCTGTGAGTAACACACTTCTGGACAAAATAACCTTGAATTTGGTTACATGTCAGTTTGGCCATAACTTTCCCATTAGGTTAGGAAAACATTATTTCTGAATGTTTTTTAAACATTAAAAATGTCCAGTTGTTTTCTTGGTCAATGTGAAAGTTAAAGGAACATTCCACTCACTCATTTTGACAATATTATTAAAACGTTATTTTTTCAATCAGAACCCTCTGAACCGATGGCCTGTCCATCACATGCTCTCACACACACACACTCGAGTGTGTGGGTTTGAGCCGGAGAACCTGCCGGAGAACATGCAGAAATAACATTTTCATAACATTTCCAAAATTATAGGATGGAATGTTCCTCTAACGTCCACATAAACCAAGCAAACGTGCTTAATACTTTTTTAAAGATTTTTTTAACGCTCAGAAACTTTCAGATATAAAGTTTAATGTATATTACATCACAAGGACCTTCCATGAACGCCGTTTTCACTTAACATTATGGGAACGTTATTTAAAATGAACATTATAAGAACGTTCCAGAAACAGTATTTCAGGTTTCAAGTTTTACGTTTTTTACTAACACATACATAACTTTTACACAATGTTAGTGACCGCTGGGAACGTGTTTGGTTTGATTTCTCCGTTTTCTAGCTGATGATGACCGGTCTGTTCTTGGGCTCTGGTTTATCCGTCTATTACGTGATCACCGACAGCTCAAGCTCAGCCTTGGTTTAGCATAGACGTCTGGACTGTGTTTGGACGGCTATTAGATGCAGGAACACACACACACACATGTAAAGCAGACTCACATTCCCAGGAGCCGGGTGACGGTGGTCCCGAAGTGGTCGAACAGGAATCCGTTCGGGAGTGTGAGGAAGTTATTCATGAAGGATGCGATGGTGAAGACGAGGGAGAACTGCTCATCCTGACCTCTGCAATCTAACACACACAGATCCAGTGTTTACATCAGTCCGACACACACGTGTGTGTGTGTGAGTTCAACACAAACATCCATCAGGCACACGTGTGTGTGTTTACTGACCTTCAGCTGCAGTGCCGTTGACGGTGGCGTTCACACACAGACTGCTGAAGTATCCTTCGCTCTTGAGCACGAACACCAGCGTGGCCCATCCGAACACGGCCCCGGCGAAGCCCAGACACTCCAGCAGCCCTGAGAGCAGCGTGAGCCAGGGCCGAACCCTCAGAGACATCTCCAGCGGCGCTCCTCACACTGATATACACACACACACACCGGTCCGGCCTCCACCTCTGCTCTTCACACTGTCCTGAGGGATATACAGCGTCCTTCAGGATACACACACACCGGTTTGGCCTCCACCTCTGCTCTTCACACTGTCCTGAGGGAGACACACACACACACACACTCCAGTCAGGCCAGAAAACACGAATGTTCCATGAGCAACAACAGGAGACATGAGTGCACTATGTTTACTGAGTCTTCAACTCACCCCACACACACACACACAGTCCAAAGACACACACTTCTCCCTCTCCCTCTCTCTCTCTCTCTGGAGCTTTATATGGTCCTCTGAGATCTTTCCCACCCATTTCGTCTAATCCCTCCTTCTTTCCTTGTCGGAGCCTCTCAGAGGGAGAAAACGGGTGTTTGTGGGCATTCCAGAACATGTGGACTTCTGCATCCAGCATTTCTGATGTCAAGTCAAGTCCCCATTATTTATAAAGCACTTTTTTATAAATCAGAGTGTTTCCCAGCAGCTTTACAGAGATAAAATAATAATGCAACATAGTTTGTTTCTAGAACACAGCTTCAGTGATGCTTCATTTCTGTTGAAAACAGTTCTTAATTGAGTTAAATGTGATGAGATCCCTAATACATGTTTAATCAGTGTTGTACACAAATATATTTCTGAACCATGTTTCTGTGGGATCTGTGTCACCCGTTCCAGCTGAACTGAACCCACATTCCTCATTAAAGCGTGAGATGGGCTCTGGTCAAACATTACACAACGCCAGAGATGTTAGGGAGTTGTATTCGATTGAGTAATCCAATCTCTGGTCATCAACACAATAGATTGACACTGCAATATCTTATGACTTTTTTTACAGCCTAAAATAAATCAAAGCAGAAGTTAAACGTGTGATTGGCACAAGACAGAGTATTTCTGATCTTCCTGTAAATGGTGTGTGGCATTCAGTGATGCAACAGAGCTCAGAATAAAACAACTCTTAATTGCACTTTCACAGTCCGGATCACAAGACCAGCCAAGATTTCCTCTTCAGTGTGTGTGTGTGTGTGTGTGTGTGTGACTGTCTACGTCAACGTCCTCAGAAACATCAACACAGGTCTATGCACCTACTTCTGATCTCAAATATAGTCTCTGTATTGATGCTTTCAAATGGTCTGAAAAATGTTAATACGACTGCAATAAAAGTTTAGATTTAATCACTGAAAAATATCATGTGGTGTAACCATCAAATAGAAACTATATATATATATATATACATACACTCACCTAAAGGATTATTAGGAAGACCTGTTCAATTTCTCATTAATGCAATTATCTAATCAACCAATCACATGGCAGTTGCGTCAATGCATTTAGGGGTGTGGTCCTGGTCAAGACGATCTCCTGAACTCCAAACTGAATGTCCGAATGGGAAAGAAAGGGGATTTAAGCAGTTTTGAGCGTGGCATGGTTGTTGGTGTCTGAGTATTTCACAATCTGCTCAGTTACTGGGATTTTCACACACAACCATTTCTAGGGTTTACAAAGAATGGAGTGAAAAGGGAAAATCATCCAGTATGGGTCAGTCCTGTGGGCCAAAATGCCTTGTTGATGCGAGAGGTCAGAGGAGAATGGGCCGACTGATTCAAGCTGATAGAAGAGCGACTTTGACTGAAATAACCACTCGTTACAACTGAGGTATGCAGCAAAGACACAACACACACAACCTTGAGGCGGATGGGCTACAACAGCAGAAGACCCCACCGGGTACCACTCATCTCCACTACAAATAGGAGAAAGAGGCGACAATTTGCAAAACTGGACAGTTGAAGACTGAAGAAATGTTGCCTGGTCTGATGAGTCTCGATTTCTGTTGAACATTCAGATGATTTGGCGTAAACAGAATGAGAACATGGATCCATCATGCCTTGTTCCCACTGTTGGGCTGGTGGTGGTGGTGTAATGGTGTGGGGATGTTTTCTTGGCACACTTTACCCCCTTAGTGCCAATTGGGCATCGTTTAAATGCCACGGCCAACCTGAGCATTGTTTCTGACCATGTCCATCCCTTTTATGGCCACCATGTCCCCATCCTCTGATGGCTACTTCCAGCAGGATAATGACCATGAATCATTTCAAACTGGTTTCTTGAACATGTCAATGAGTTGACTGTACTAAAATGGCCGCCACAGTCTCCAGATCTCAACCCAATAGAGCATCTTTGGGATGTGGTGGAACGGGAGCTTCATCCCACAAATCTCCATCAACTGCAAGATGCTATCCTATCAATATGGGCCGACATTTCTAAAGAATGCTTTCAGCGCCTTGTTGAATCAATGCCACGGAGAATTAAGGCAGTTCTGAAGGCCAAAGGGGGTCGAACACAGTATTAGTGTGTGTTCCTAATAATCCTTTAGGTGAGTGTGTATATATATATATATATATATATATATACTGCTGTTCAAAAGTTTGGGATTGGTACAATTTTTAATGTTTTTAAAAGAAGTCTCTTCTGCTCACCAAGCCTGCATTTATTTGATTAAAAATACAAAACAAACAGTAATATCATTTGTGTAAATTTAATTTAAAGTGTAATTTATTCCTGCGATCATTGACCGCGTGGGACGGCGTAGTGGGTCCAGTGCCACTGACCATTCAAATGGCGGAGGACCAGCTGGTGGCACGCTCCAGGGTTGGCAAAACGTCTTCTTCCCCCTTTCCCTCGCCCTGTTCCTCCCCCTAGGTCCCATCCTTCCGGACCAATCCAAGGCCGGGGTGGGACAGCGCTGGTCCTGTCAGGGGGCCGAGACCCGGGCAGGTTCACCGCCACTGAGGCTGACACGACTCCTCTTTCTCCGCTGTCCCCACACCAATCCCTTACCCCACTGTCTGCCACTAGGGCGGCAGGGAGGCCTGGGCTGGCCTGCTGGCGTTGCATTTTATAGACATGTCCGATGATGGGTGTGGGTACAATGATCCGGGTCCCGGATGTCCTGCAGACTGCCCACGATCAGGCTGGCCATTTTGGCACTGAAGACTTCTTTATTTTCTGTTTTGTTATCCAGTGAGTTTAGAGAGTGGGGTTTAGTTAGTACGTGTTTTTGTTTTGTTATTTAGTTTGTTTAGCACCGCTCATTCTCTTTCTCTCTGTGGCTTATTCTGAATATTATTCTTTTTCAATTATTTTTCTCTGAAGTTGTATATAGTTGTAAATAAGTTGGTTTGTTTGTTTACATTTATTCTTTATCAGCATTGAAAGTAAAGCGAACCACCTGTTTGCTGTAATTTGCTGTGTTTGATTCATTCGCCCACAATACTCTCCAGAGACCAAAACTGTAGGAAAGTGTTAATTTAATTATGTATGCCTTCCTCATACTACTACATCATCAGGAGACGTAACAACATTAAACACTAACGTTCAAAAGTTTAGGCTCAGTTCGAAAATTCTAACAGCTGAAAATTCAGGAATAAATTACACTTCACTATATATTCACATAGGAAACAGATATTTAAAATTGTAATATTTTTTATAACATTACTGTTTTTTTTTTTGTATTTTTAATCAATAAACACAGCCTTGGCGAGCAGAGACTTCTTTTAAAAACACTAAAAATCATATGAACGGCAGTGTAAATGTGTGCATAATTCTTAGGCAAGTGAGTATTTTGACAATATCATAATTTTTATGCATATTTTCCAACTCCAAGCTATATAAACTTGAATGCATATTGGATTTAAGCATGAGGTGATGTGTATTTGTGTAATGTGGGAGTGTGTGGCCTAAAGAGATCTACATTATTAGCTTCTTTTCCTCAGGCAAAATGGGCCAGAAAGAGATTTAACTGACTCTGAAAAGTCAAGAAAGGATCTTCTTGATGGACTAGGTGGATTATAACAGCACAGAACTATTATTAAACATCAACTAGTTGGACATTTTTAGTTGAAGATGGACTCAAACTAAACTTCGAAACCCAATGCCAGTTTCAGAAGACACTTTCTTCAAGCCAGTGAAGGTCTTAAAGATGACAGAATAATGCCGTGACAGGACCCGATCGAGGACTTGAGGAACAGAACTGTTGCATAGTTATCCTGCACACTAACAGTTGGCCAATAATTGTACACACACACACACACAAAGATATATATATCCCAAGAAAGCCAAAACATCACTTTTACTTCCTTAAATATTCATGTTTGAGGTTCATTAACATGTTTGGATTGACCGAGAGCACTGTAGTTGTAATAATAAAATGAATTCTCAAATGCAACTTGTCGAATACAGGGGTTGGACAATGAAACTGAAACACCTGGTTTTACAACACAATAATTTGTTAGTATGGTGAGGGCCTCATTTTGCATCCAAATACAGCACCAATTCATCTTGGGAATGACAGATAGAAGTCCTTTACAGTGACCAGAGGGATTATGAGCCGTTCCTCTTCCAGAACAGTGTCCAGGTCACTATATGATGCTGGTGGACTCGCTCCTCCAAAACACCTCAATAATATTCAGATCTGGAGACTGTGCATGTTCAACGTCACTTTCATCTTCATCAAACCCTTCTGTCACAAGTCTTGCTGTGTGTGTTGGTGCATGATCATGCTGATACACGGTTTGAGCAGCAGGTGCTCATGATCCTCCAGAAGGGTTTGGTAGTCCTCGGCAGTGTCGTGTCCATCAAATACAATCAGGATTGTCATGATATTGGAGCTCAAACCATCACTGATCCACCCGTGCTTCACTCTGAAGATTGGCCGCCAGGCATATAGATGTAAAACCTCCAACATTGGCCAGTGTTTCAGTTTCATTGTCCAACCCCTGTAGTTTCGCACACGATGAATATATTGTAACGAGTTAAGGAAAGCAGACAAAGAAGAGAATCTAAACGGGTTATTTAATAAAGAACACAGAACTCAAAGTCATAAAGACAACCATTACAATTACAACAACTGACAAACAGTGAAACACTAGGGCTATAAATACACAAACAAGCTTAACCAGATAATGAGGAACCAAGACACACCTGGAGAGACCAATCAACATGAAGAACTACAAAACATGGCTCAGAACAAGAAA